ATGTCTGTTTTTCTCTCTCTCTCTCTCTCTCTCTCTCTCTCTCATCAAATAAGTGAGTCTTTACTCTGATGGTTTCAGATTACGCAGTGTATGGCTGGAAAAAAAAATCATATCAAACCTCATCAAGGAAGATAAAATTCATGCCTGCAGATGGCTGCAGGCAATCATACTTTCATATTTCATCATGTTGATAAGGATATTGCAAATTCTTTGAAGCATTGCAAAACAGGCAAACAGAGGCAAGATGTGCTAGTAAAAGCCTTTTCATCACCACGTTATAGGTTACTGTAATAGGAACTGTTTACACAGGCAACAAACTGACTTAATATATTTCTGAATCTCATTTTTCTCACACCACTCCCAAATACTTGAGCCGCTTGAGCTTTTACTGAGCAAAGCATTTATTCCCGCTTTAAAAAAATGTCATATTTTCCGCTTTATGCATATTATGGGATAGATACTCCTGTCATCTTCTGAATCATCACTCTGTTTGTCGTGGAGTTTGGATTTATGGTGGTTTCTTGCTGTCTGACTCAGGTCCTTCTGATTTATGTTTTTCAACTGATGAATGATTTTCACAACATCATTTCTTAGTAAATGCCAACCTAAAATGTTGGTGTTTATGTGCCAAACGGCACACCATTTTGTTAAATAAAGCAAATATTCTTAACAAAAAATAATACATTTATTCAACAAGAATGCATTAAATTGATTAAAAGTGTAAGAATGTTGTTCTTTTGAACTTTATATTCATCAAAGAGTAATACAAAAGTGTCATGGTTTCCACAAAGTTATTAATCAACATTGATAAAATAAGAATGGGTTCTTGAGCATTAATTCAGCACATTAGAATGATTTCTGAAAGGTCATGTGACACTGAAGACTGGAGTAATAGCTTTTGAAAATTCAGCTTTGCTACTACAGGAATTAATTACATTTGAAATATATTTAATTAGTAATTAGTTAAGTTATAATAATATTTCACAGTATTACTATATTTTGATCAAATAAATGTAGCCTTGGTGAGCATATGAGAGTTTCTTTCAAAACATAAAAAAAACAAAATTACAGACCTCAAACTTTTGAATGGTAGTATTTAACTATTTTCATTCAAAAAGGCTTGAGTTATATATTATCTCTATAATGTTAGGATGAGTGTAGCATATTTATTATTGCTTAATTCAGTGGCAATTCAGTCATGGCTGACTGAGACTGTACTTACATTCAAGCCATGTGGACTATACATGGGATTTCCCCCCAGGGCATCATTGTATCCTGCCGTCTGACTGATAACATGGCGCAGGGTATCCACCTACAGAGGACACAACAGGAAGTCAAGCTTGTCAACATTCTGCATTACAGAAACACATGCAAACATCAACACAGTGCTGTATGATGACAACAAAGGCAATGGTGTTTATACAAAAAATTGATGGCTTTGCGGTTTACTAAATGAATCATACTAAAATGGAATATGCAGCTGAATGAAGTTAGGGATACATATGTGGTTTAATGCAACATTTAGGACAACATATGTGTTTCCCCTCTCTATTGCTTTCTGGCAATGGTAACTCTATTTCCAGGCTCTAAACACAAAAACATAGAAAGAAGGAATGGAATAGTTTTCATTTGGAATTTACTACAAAACACAATAATATTCACACATGACAACAGTTGGAGGAGAATACGGTATGTAAGAACACATTATCAGACCATGAGCAGATATTGAGAATCTGAGAAATGTTCAGTACACATTAACTCTTTGTCTCTCTCCTTCAAATGGTGTCTTTTAACATGAGGATGAAATTAGCTTATGTGGACATGGAAAATTGGGATAATCATGATGAAAATGGGACAGAAAAGGATATAGAGGTTTGGAGGAAAGAACAGTACCATACAACCAATACCAACCCAAGAGCTCAAGTCAGAGCCAAATGCATTCACAACATAAACTACAAAATGGGGTCTGCTCCAGGATCAATATACTAGCATAATGCTCTAAACAATGAGTCTCTAGTCAGACGGGCCTCTTATGGGCTGTGATATGGTAATTTATTTGGGGGTCCAGACTGGAAATGTGAAGGATCCATCCATGTCCAGACTATAGTCATCATTAATCTTTCATGACTATAATGAAACTAATTGTTGAGGGGGTGATCAAATCTGTATCACTGTCTATATGTTGAGGGGGAGGGAGTTGAGTTTTTAATGTGGATGGTAGGCTAGCTGACAAGTCTGCTCTGGTTCACAGCCCCAGTTCCTGTGCGTAGCGCCTACCTGTGACTGCACATTGGCTCCGACTTGTGCCCCTTGGTAAGAATCCCCATTCAGATTCTGCATGCTCATGAACATGTCCCCCGAGTTTAGGAGGTTAAAAGAACCTGACGAACCTAGAAAGGAAAGATGTAAGGAGCTGAATAACGAGAGGATGAGAAAGAGAAAGAGAGGCTATATGTGCGAGGACATACGCGCATCACACGCCACGCTAGAAGTGATGCTCGTAAAGCAAGCAACAAATGGAGAGCAAAAGAAACAAGGAAGAAATGAAAGGATAGGGATGGGGATGACGGCTAGGTTGCATTACATATCTAGAAGGGCACGTGGGGGTCTCCAAAAATGCCAAAACAAAGGGGGGAAATCACAAAAAAAGGACAAAGATGGTGTATGGAGTTGGAGGTCTAAGTTTTCCACAGGAGTTCACACCTATTCCTACTCTAGTGGACTAGTTCATAAGTGGAATTATATGCCAATGACAAGAAGGACAATAAGAAGCTTATGGAAAAGGCCAGTACCAGTGAACATGTTGGTTAATAGAGTGTTTTTGTTCTCTGCAGAGTCCAGCTGAAATTCTTCATCTTTCATCTGGAATCCTGGGTGCAAGAAAAAGGGGACCCCTTAAAAATTGCTTACCCACAACTCCTCAGGGTCTAAGCCATGTCTTTATCACAGTCAAATCTTCTGCTTATTATGTCTGAAGAGCATCAATTTAAGGTAGACACTGTATCAATCTACTAATCAAATATTCACTATTATTTCATACTACACATTTCTTCAAGAGTGTAACATGCTCCGACCAAGAGATTTCCATTAATTCACAGCGGGTTAACACCTGTCACATATTTATGGATAGAAAGGCAGGACAGTGGGTGAGGATTATCTCTTTTACCCCTACCACCACCAACACCCTCCCACCCCTCAAATCTACAAACATGTTCAGCATGTGCAACCCGCTCACACAGTTTCTGCTTGACTTTGTTCGTCTCGTTCAGCATGTATAGTCTCAGAGGCAGGAGAGTGAGGATCATACCCTAGTCTGGGACCTCTCACTGTCACAGCAGCCAACCGGCATGCCAGAGGGAGCAGAGGTTCAGAAGGGACCAAGCTGGGATAGGGGATGGCTGGTTGGTTTTTGGGGGCTCGTCCGGGATCAGTGCAAGCTTACCGGAGTTGGGTGTGGTGGGTGAGTTGGTCTGACTATTCTGGACGGTGGCAGCTACTGCGTGCGCGGCAGTCACGGCTGTCTTAGCGGCATACAGGTTGGCCTCCTCTTGGAACTTGCCAATGTTTTTTTTGTAGCGGATCCTCTTGTTGCCGAACCAGTTGGATACCTGAGGGAGAGATGGAAAGAAAAGGAAAGAGGGGGAAAAAAAGAGGAGGGGGTGTCAGACGTCAATGCAGACAAGGCACTGTGCACTGAGCAGAGTGATTGTTTCAAGATGTCATGTTTGGGTCCATCAAGTCCACAGTCCCCAGCCTCCCACAGTAATATCCGCTGGGCATGCAGACTAATTAAGCGATTATCAGACAGAGCTTGTGCGTTATTGCGGATGGAGGCGTGACATGCTCTCTGTTTGTCTCTAGACAAAACCAACACACAAGGGGCTGCTCGTCTTGTGGCAAAATTTGGATCAGTGTTGTGCTTATGGGATCAGGTAGCTAGTGCCAAATGTGAAGGTTGTATATTTCCTTGTAAAGCTAACAGAGATCTTGCTAAAAAAAGTGTTTGTTCTGGTCCCTGGCCCCATTTAATAAATGGACACATTCTAAATAAGAGTTTTAACATAACACTATCTTTAGATTTTACTTTCACTACCTTTCTTTAAAGGTAACTTGGATGTTTTATGTATCTTAATAACACTAATGTTATTTTCTTTTGCATAAAACCACTTTTGTGCTCCTGCCTTAAGACAAATAATAAACATAATAATAACCACAACTCAGATAGTACACCTAAAAGCAGCCCTTAACGCAATACATTAATAATTACAATAATGCAAATTTTACTAAAAACAGCAGCCAGGAAACAATAAGATCTGGGTCACATGGGGGGTGGTAGATGTGCAAATGCTAGCACTGCATAATTGTGGAATAATAAAGAGATTAAGGGTTGTTTCTTAATAGCCCTATAAATTACAGTGGCCTGTCGCTGTGGCGATCTCTCCTGCCGTATTCCAGCTCTAGCTGGACTGGAGGACCAGAGAGCCTCAGCCCCTTAATGATGCTTTATTTAATTTCCACCTCTCTGCTTCCATTTTAATATCTCCAGCAGCCCGAGCCACACTACGCTACAGCGGCTGAATTTACATGACATCAGATCATTTCTACCCCCACCATGCCTCTGCGCTTCTAAATCTTTAATATCTAGGCAATTAAAATTAATGACCATTCGGCTGAAGCCACCACCGTTGGCAGGCTTTTGCCTTAACATCAATTGTTTGATGGGTTTACCTAGAGGTTAAACTAACAAGCAAGGTTTAATTGGAAGCAATGAAAGCACTAGCCGTCATCCTTTTTACTTAACCTGCTTATGAAGCAGTTTAAGGCCATGGAAAAGAGGCACACAGAGTCTCTAAGCTAACCTCCCTCTATAGATTAAATACCTTAAACTTAGCTGTTTTTAACCCTAATGTTTCATATTTTAACAAAACAAAAACATGTTTACAACATATAACTAATTTAAATGATTGTTCTATAGCTGTATGAGTCAATGACAAATAAGGATGAAAGATAAAGATGATGAAAATAGGATATCTTAACAAAAAATGTGTACAAAAAGTATCGAAAGCAACAATGAATGTAAGGGGTATAACCATCATAAGTGTTCATGAACATTATTTGATTAGGTTTAAAGTAAAACTTTTTTTTTAAAAACAAATATCATAAATGTTTGAATACTATATAATTACAATAAGTATTCTGGGGTTTACTCCATTTGACCTGTACCAACCTGGCCTTGCTATTAAAAAAACACACACAAACACACACACACACACACACACACACACAAACACACACACACACACGTGTATATATATATATATATATATATTAGGGTTTTCACAACTGATCTTCAGTATTGGGGTATAGGGCCCCATTCTGTGATATAATTTCATGTTTTATGATTTTGTTGTCCTATGAAAACTAAATTACTTCCTGCATGTTGGTTATACCACACTGAATTTAAGTTGACAAATATTTTTAAATACTACAATTTTAAAACAAATCTACCTCATGCATTTGGGTTTCATATTTATGCGAGAACAGACTAGAGACCCAGTAGACTTCTATACTGGAACCTAATACCTGGTTTGTTTGCTTTAAACCAATGGAGAGGAAGCCTGTGTGGGTGTAGTAAATAATTCCCCACTACTCCCTCCCCAAGCTTGGGTCAATACGCCGCTAGTGTCACTGAAATGGGATGGATGATCTTACTCAGGTCTCAATACCTCCCGATTTATACTGCTTCTCTTGCTGAGAGTGGAGCTTAAATGGAGACTCAGACTTCTGGCTTCAACACACACACACACACACACACACACACACACACTCATACACATACACATTCCCAGTCATGGGCGGTTGCAGTAGCCAGGGCTGCTGATATTATCAATAATGAAGCGGTCTGCATTAATAGTTAACACATTAACCTGAGGCAGAGCTCTGCTACATGTATAATGAGCTGAAATATTGATAAGTGTCGCTCGTTTGAACCGCAGGAAGATCGAAGCGGAAGAACTGCATTTAATTGGGTGATGGGCACCACACTTTGTGCCCACTCATTTGGAGGGTGCACAATAACCCCAACTAGAATGCTTAAAATCACAGTGGTTATGAAAACTCTCTCCCCAAAAAAAGCATCATGTGACCTTGTGTGCTGCATTTAGAAGACAGAGCATCACGCATGCACAGAGATTGTGCTCAGATAATGAGGTTGATTCTGTGCACTGAGTGAAGTGGTGCCTGATAAAGGCGACCAAATTTCATCAACAATACCATTAACACCACACATCACTTCTAATCAGCACATGTCTCAGATACAGGAAAAATGGCAACGCAGGCAACCACTGGGATCTACATGTGCTAGAAACTGTTACAAAAAGAGTGAAAAAAAAAACTTGCTACCTTAGAAATGTAAATAAATAAAACTGGTAGAAATTAATATTACAATATTTTATTTGTTGAAAAAAAAAAACTGCTAAACTGCATCTATTTTTAGCCCCATTGCAACCATTTCCCTACAAAACAAAATATTACAACATACAAATTAATTTAATGAAAGTTATTTCCAAATAAAAAATAGTTTCTGAACATATACAGAACACACTGATTAAATACAATGTGGGGTAAATATCTATCACAGGCACGTCAAAATGTGTAATGACAAGACATAACACAATCATAAGGGACACATACTTTTAGCGGTTTGACAATTGAGTGAAATTCTCTATGGAAGAGTGGATGGGGTGTATATATGTATATTACAGCAGAAGTCTTACAACATAAATACTGTCTGATACTTGGTTTGATTACTAAGCACTCCAAATATATCACTCCCATTAGACACTTGATTAAGTGTGCAGATTTGTTGTCACTAAGTTCAGGAAAGGTAGACGTTTGGGGAACAGAGTGCTGAGTATGTCTTAACATGTTCTAAGGTATAAATGAACACACATAAAGGGGTGACAGAATAAAGGAAAAGCAACAAAGAAAAACAAATGGCACAAGAAAAGTGGAGCAGGAGAAGTCATGACATACCTGTGCCACTGTGATGGTGGTTCCCACCCCCTGAAGGCAAAAAAGAATGGCTTTTACAGGATCTGACTCTGAACAACCCTCCATAAGCCCCTCCCCACAGAGAAAACACATTTATTACATCACAGAGTATGCAGATATGCTCTAAGACCGATAGGTTAATAGTAAACATTTTCCTTAACAACCTCTGTGACCGTTTGAAAAATAAAATAAAATAAAAGAGTTTTGTCTGTGGGGAGATGGGTGTGGGTGGGTATTCTTGCCTTCAGGTGGATTCTGAATTTAGTTATTAGAGTGGGAAAACACTGTGATACTTTTAAATTCCTTGCAATAATGAATCATACTGTTTGACTAAAATAAAGTCCCTCTTCTTTCTCTCTGACACACACACATTCACATGCGTGCACACATTTACTCTAAAACACAATGACTGACACAGATCACCACAAACTGTGGCATCCATCCACAACAGGGTACACTCTGTCTTCAGGCCCTGCTTGAGACTCAGCTCAGTGGAAGTATCAGACTAATGTGTTAGAGCAAACAGGTATGAATGCTAGACAGTGACGAGAGGAAAGAAGAGGACAATGAGAGACAGTGCGCTGGAGAGTCTTTCTGGTGTGATCAAGCTTGGCCCTGTCCCAAATGGCACCCTCAGCCTTCGCAATCCTCTTCAGAGTCTATACTTTGCCACATGGACTACTGGGTAACATTCGAGGATGCATAGCGGCTTCAAATGGGGTGCTTGAGAAGGTTTGGAAACCTAAAATGACAAGCTAGACATCATACAAGAGAAGGTCATGTCCACCCCAATTCCACATTAGATGCACCATTTGAGACAGAGCCTTTGTGTGACGTAGCATAGCCAATTAGCCACCGTTAGCTTAGATTATGATACCCTGCTGAAAAAATAGCCTAAACCAGTCTAAGATGGTTTGATGGTCTTAAAGCCTGTCAGGTTTGTCTGTTGTCTGGTTTTAGAGGGTTCTTGGGCACTTTTAAGCTGATCAGGCTAGGGGACCAACTGGCCAACCATCTAAACCTCCTAGACCAGGGGTCTTCAAACTCTGCTTCTGGTGACCCCTGTCCTGCAGAGTTTAGCTCCAACCTTAATCAAACACACCTGAACCATCTAATCAAGGTCTTAAGGATCATTTGAAAATTTGAGGCAAGGGTGTTGGAGCAGGTTGGAACTAAACTCTGAAGGACAGTGTGAATCCAGGAGCAGGGTTGAAGATCCCAGAGTTAGACCAGCTGAAATCAGACTAGCTTAAATCAGCTAAGAATACCATTTTAAATGGGACAGAGCAGGGATGGCATTGGATTTACCTAATTAAACCCTGGGCATGGGGACTTTAAGTCTTCAGACTTTGACCTGTTGTCGGTCATTCTTTCCAGACTATCCAACAAACGGGACGTGTGGAACATGGATGGGTGGTGTGGTCTCACCTGGGATACTGTTATGCTGCACTTCTTAGCCAGCTCCTCTTTGGCCTCTTCGCTAGGGTAAGGGTTACTAAGATGCGAGTAAAAATACTCGTTCAGGATTTCGGTCGCCTGCTTGCTGAAGTTCCGCCGTTTCCGTCTGCCGTTGGACAAGCAGGGGGAAAAACAAGAGGAGGAAGGCAATTAGAGAAACTCAAATAAAACCATGTGTGATGGCCAAACTCATAATGAAGCTGCTGGCAGGAAATGAAGTCGGGAAGGCTATTATCAGAATACATATGTAGACACAACTGGACGATGTTATGTTATCGGTTGAGCTCTAAGCGAAGCGTGAAATGTTCAGTGTTTAGAGCGACGAGCTTTCCTTCTCTCTTTCTCCCTCTATCGTGCTTTCTTTCACTCTGATGGGGGTGTTTAGAGGTGCTCAAGCATTCCCAGTCAGAGCTGTATCTTGGGACATTAGGAAAATCAGGCCATGGCCAGCTGAACACTGTTCTCAAGTACTGGGGCAGGGCCTGATGGAGTTGCACTTACCGCCACTCACTGCTGCCCACCCCGCCACGGTTAAGTGCTGGCTTCTTTCTTTCGCCTTGTTTAATGCCTTTCACACGAGTGGCCGGCCAAACGATTGTGCTTACGCTTCACTTGAGCGTTCTCCTCGAGACCTCATCCGCTCTTTTCTCATGTTCACGGCATCATTTCTCTCCCCTCTACACCTCTCCAGATCTCCTCTTCCAACTGTTTGTGATTACAGTAATCTGGACCACCTGCTGATGACCTCCTACCCACCAAACGCAAATTACTTCATTTCCACTCTATAAAATGCTTAACTGCTTTCAGGTGCTTAGTATGACTGTGCTCCGTGGATGGCCTCTAGGCTCTAAAACTCTGCTCTTGGCAACACATCTTAACCACTAATGGCTGAATAATAATGAATGCATCATTGTGGTCGGCTGATAACAGGTGTCATACCATCAGTGGCTAAGCCTAAACCCTGACTGTGTAGGTTAAAGGTCAAATGAACTCGAAATGTAGCTAAAAACGGTTCCCAATTCAAGTAACAATGGCACCAAAAAGTATTTTAACACACTTAAAGTCACACTTAAAATCATCTGAATTCCACTGTATAGATAAAATATCAAACCAAGTGGCATCTGCAGACAACTTTTCTAAGCCATTACTGTGAAACAAACTTGAATCTTGAAACAACTGAATCTTTTGTACTCGTTTTAAACAATATGTTCACGGCAAACATGGCAAATGTATGTGACAATCTTGGACACTAGAGAAATATGTTTGGGGAACTTTATCGCCCTCACATGAAACATCCTATTATGAATATGACTTCCTAATATGAAGTGAATATGACTTGATTTATAAATGGTAAATGTGACCACATCTTTTGGGGCCAATATATTTGATGGTTAACTTGAAATCATATTCTCTAAACATTGCTTTCTTGCATATAGCAGAATATTAATTCTTTCAAATACATCTGATACAACTCATTTGTAAATAGACATACTGTAGTTTATGTGGACAGATCTCGCACTGATACTAACCTGGCATCGAGGAAGCGGGACCTCAAGATCATGACGGCCTCACAGGTGCTCTGTTTAAGCTGCATTTGGATGGAGCTGAATTTGCGATGGATGATGCTGACCATGCGCTCGATCTCTTTGGGCGAGATGGGCCGTGTGCGAGACTGCTCCCTCAACAGATTCATGACGTGGGTAGTGAACTCGTTACATGCCTGTGGAGAAAGACAATTTTGAGCTGAGGACGCAGCTTTTATTCTGAGTGTAAAAAGGCATTACGCAAAACTAAATTAATCTGAAGCCTTTAGGATCTGCTGCTGAGACTCAACAGCTACATGTAATAAATCATTTCTGAATATACAATTCTGGCATCGCATCCTCACTTAAACTCCAAAAACATTCTAGAGATTGACCCTCTTTTTAAAATCGTTATATACTCTCAGCACAGTGACAGAAATGCTCTTTGACGTTATTGCGCAGAAGAAGCACATCAGTTCAACTGCATTCGTTTGAAGCTCTCTGGAGCAGCAATCAGCAATTTTTGAAGCAAGTTCAAAGCTGCCGCTCTTGAAAGCACGGGAAAAACACCATCCATACTGTTTGTAGTGCTGCGGAGGACTTGAACGACTTAATAGGTGAAGTCATCTATGAATGCAAATGCCGATTTGCAATTTGGCACCTGCCCAGTGCCCAAAGAATTAAACAGCTTTTCGTTAAAGCAGTGGTTCATACATGATTCATTAGAATAACTAATGTAGGTAGTGCACACTTTAGCTCATTACTCGGAGTAAAATGTTAAGTATTTACATTTAGATAATTAAAAGAGGAACACCCTTAAGAAAGATGCATTTACTCTGGGTGAAAGTGTTGAGCCACCTTTTCCACATGCTCCCTTTTTAAACGCTTGCAAGTTAATCAGACTAATTTAGCCCAATGACTGGCTAAGCCATCAGCTAAACAACTTTCATATCATATTAAAAGGATTGTTATTTGCAAATTAAAGTGTTCTCCTGACCATTCTTTATTGTTTATGGTGTAAGTACAGCATGAACAGTAGGGGGTAAATGACAAATAAGAGTGAACAAGAGGAAAAACTGTAAAATCTAGTTTAAAACACAAGTTGTGTACTTGTATTCATGTTGGTTTCTGTCACATTGTGTAACTGTCAAGTAAAAATTAACACATGAATGTACACATCTCACATTTCAATCATAAAAAAGATCATGATGTCATTGACCCAGGGGTAAATAGACATGCAGGCTATTACTTATTATTTTTCAAGCCATCTCCTCAAAACACCAAGCACTTTAACTGTACCGCATACCAAAAAAAAAAAAAAAGACCAAAAGGCCCCGGTTCAACC